GTATGCCAGAGAGAGACCTGTTTAACTGGAGCCATCTCAAACGGGCCGCACTCTCTGCATCAGGATCACTGGGGTGTCATTCGCTCTGATTACCTTCCTGAGTTTAATTGACACTTAACAAGATAGAGCTTTCAGAGAGATGTTTTATTCCTCTGGCATTTCAATAATAACAGATTGTGCTGCTACAAATTCAGAGTTACGGCTTTGTGCTGGGAGAAGGTGAAGCCCTGTTTGCTCAGTGTGGATATTCTTTGAGCACACATGCAAACTTTAGGAGACACAAATTCATAAGCTTCTTCATCCAAAATGCAAACATTTCTTTTTCAATTTGTTCTCAGCATGCTTTAGTGCACACAGTCAAAGATGTTGCAGACACTGCTGCTACAAGCGTCGTGCAGGGAGAAGGCGGATTTCAGTTGAGTCCATTACTGATGCCAAGACGTTGTGACTGGACTCACTCTCCCACTGCAGGGTGATAATTGAAAAGATCACACTACAAGAGTAGAGGCAAAGGCACCTCTGAGCGGGCAGGTAATGTCATCTGAGCCTGAGTTATGGTAACACAGATTGGATAAGGAACTGCCTTGTTAATGGATAAGGATGAGGCTGAGCAGGTCCAGTGTTCAGAAATCCAGGTGTAGCCGGGCGGTGGTGGCGCACGCCTTTAATCCCAGCACTCGGGAGGCAGAGGCAGGCGAATCTCTGTGAGTTCGAGACCAGCCTGGTCTACAAGATCTAGTTCCAGGACAGGCTCCAAAGCCACAGAGAAACCCTGTCTCGAGAAACCAAAAAAAAAAAAAAAAAAAAAAAAAAAAAAAAAAAAAAAAAAAAAAAAAAAACAGAAATCCAGGCGTATGGATAAGGTACCAATGAAGATTTCATTTATACAAGTGCGTTAAAGCCAATGAATCTGCAGATAAGGGCTGTCTCTTCATCACTTGAATGCCACTTGGACTTCCATGAGGCACTGGTATATACAATTACTTTTCGGTTAATTTCTGCTACACCCTTGTGAGATAGATATTGCTATGATACTACACTGTCTGATGGAGAACTGGAATCCAGAGAGAGGACTCATCATCTGAGGTCAAGTGCAGAGACAAGATCAAAGCCCAGATAGTAGACTATGGCTCTTACCCACACCAAAGTGTGGGCAAACCAGCAACATCAGCACCTAGAATATTTATGAAGGTCAACTCTCAGTCTGGGTTCTAGAACTAAGACACGAGGAAGTCTGGTAGAGGGTAAAGGGGTGTGGGATATCTTGCCTAGCACGTGAGTATTATGTTATACACCATGTGTTAGATCAGCGATTCTCAAGCCTGAGTGTCTTACAAACCACATGGAAGACGCTGGCATAGAGCTTCTGAATCAGAAGAATGAGTCAGACGGTGCATCTGCATCAGGACTAGACCTTGAAGAGAAAGGTACTAGAAATACTAGCCCCTGAAGCCAGATTAACTTCAGCATCTTCCGTAAATCCAGTTGTTAGAGTATCTGACCACATTTGGAGGATACAGGAGTCAGAATACCTAGGCTATTTGGAGGACACCTAGGATACGGACCATGAACTGAGGACAGCCTACTGCTGATTGTAACGTACAGAATGACTGTTCCAATTTCCAAGCATAGCATGATCTGTTCGTTTACACTCAAGAACTGTCATGGTGCCCAAGATGTGATGGATTTTCAAGTAGTTTATTCTTTAACTGAATATGGTACTTTAGATTCCCTAGAGCAAGCAATCAAATATGTTTTGAAATAGGATATGAAAAATAGTAAAAGGTGAATAGAGGTTGGGGCAGTATTGAATAATTCTAACAATGTAGGCTGTAAGGAGATGGCTGATTTGAGTTGGCCAAGGTTCTGAGCATTGCTCCAAATTTTCGACCACTTGGGTTAAGACTTAAAAAGTTATCATTAAGATAGAAGGGAAAAGATCTGGGACAATACCTCATTTTGATAAAGTAACTGCCTTCAAGCACAAGGACCTGAGTTCAATCCCTAGAATCTTTGTTCTTCCTATTGAAATCACTTCATTCATTGCCTACATATATGTGTCAAAGTGGCGCCATACCCCAGGGTCCTAAATTCTCCAGGGCTTGAGCAGCAGGATGTCCTAGATTCATCCTGAAAACACCTGAAATCCCAAACCAGATGGTAAAACACCACAGATGTTCCCCTGAGATGACCATGACAGCCATTTCTCAAACTGACCCAAGGCAAGAGGACAGACTGTGTAAGTTGTGTATGTTGGAACACAGGCTGCCTTTTCCCTGCAGGCTCCTGAGGGGCCAGCAGATACCTGGACCTCTTCCAGCCTCTCTCAAGGTGCATGGACAGAAGGCAGGACATGGCTTCTCTTCTGTTGATGATGCCCCTGGGTAGCTTCTCTTGCCTCCGCTGTAGTCAGCTGGTGCTGTTGTGTAATTTCTCATGAGCCAGTATAGGTAACAATCAGAGACCTAGATAGAACAGTTGCTGTGTAGCAGTGGTGACCAAAAGTGAGTGAGTTCTGTTTGCTCCTAGTTACAGCCTTTTCAAGGTATCAGAAGGGTGTGTGGTCAGCTAGAGTGGTAACAGTCTCTAAACAATCCAGTCAGAGAGGATAGCTTGGTGTGACAAGTGACGAGTTCCTAGATAGAATGGCTATTTACTGTAGGGCAAAACCAGAATTGTCTGTGGTCGCCTCAGTAACTTCTTCATGCCCAAGATATCATGCTTATTAAAAGCACACTATTGCACCATCCATATCCTTGATCAATGAATCTCAATCTGTGGGTGATGTCAAATGACCCTTTTCAGAGGTCATCTAAGACCATTGGAAAGTACACCAATTTACATTACTACATAACATTAGCAAGATTACAGTTATAAAATGGCAACAGAAGTAACTTTATGTTCAGGGGTCACCACAACATGAGAACTGTGTTAGGAAGGTTGAGAACCACTGTCCTAGATGGAGGAGCTGTGCCTTAACCCAGATTCCTTGGGGACATGCTCTTTCTGCTTCATGCAGGGTCTATCACTTTCTCAGGACCCCTGCACCCAAGTGGACAGAGCTGTGTCTTGATTTAAACAGTTTGAATCCAGAATGATCTGATACCTTCTCATAGTCAGAGTGGCTTTTCTTGACCCATAACATGAGGCTCTGGAGATCGGGTGAACACACACCTTTCTCCCTCTGACTCCAATCTCACAAATCTCTCCTCATCCCAGGATCTTAACTGGATCTGAGGGATGCCATGGAATTCATCTTGGACCCCAATGTGTGTAAAGTGAAGGTCTACATGGGGCCCATCCCAAGCCACCAAGGTTCCTCGGGTATTGCCTGGAACAATAGCTCAGCTTCATGTATGGTTCACTCACATGCACTAACTCAGGAAGATGAGCACCAGCCTAGTAAGGCTAGCAGGGGGCCTGCGGTGCAATCCACACGTTTTTCAGATAGAGAAATTGGAACACGGGGCTGACTGAAGGGTGTTTCCCCCTCCTCCAGGGAAAAACACCATAAAAAGGAATAGAAGTTAAATCACAGCAACTCACATATTTGAAACCATCTTTTTAAAAGAAAAATAGAAACTTGTACAGACATTCCTAGAAATAATGACCAGCCTAATTAAGAGCGTGAGCTAAATCTTGAAGCTTACAATGAAGCTTAAAATCTCCTTTAACCAAAGGTTAGAGAGAGAAGCTCTATTCAGGGCTGAGAGAAGGAGGTGGGGAAACTGCTAGAGGCAATGCAACTGAAGGTGAAGGTCAGTCTGTCACTTTAAGAGGAGCAGGGACGCTGCATGCAGTCTGTCCATGCAAAGGTAACTAAGCTGTGCCCACCATACACGGACAGTTCAGCATTCCTGGGACCCTGTGTGGACCGAAGCTCCTCTGAAATGTCAGCTCTACTCCTCTGGGGAACAGGAGACCGTTTTCATGACATAAAAGCCATTCAATAGGCATATGTTCCTCAGAGGCCTGTGAGGGCTGTATTTGGAGGCTAAGTAAGAACACGTAACAGCTGAAGAAATGGAGCCATCAGTTCCTAGGGGTGCTCAGATATTGTGGGTGGTGGAACCTCTGAATTCTGACTAGCATGAGGAAAGTCTCTACAGTCTGTATGTTGCTGTGTAGCTACACATTAGGTCTGTATGTTGCTGTGTAGCTACACATTAGGTCTGTATGTTGCTGGGCAGCTACACATTAGGTCTGTATATTGCTGTGCAGCTACACATCAGGGAACTAGTCACTGCTTTGAATAAATCTTTCTATGAAATTAAGAAGGGATGTGAGTTTTATCTATGCTGATTTTTGACTGCCTCAAAATATGCCTTTAATTCTGTATTTGATCACGTGCTATCTAAGAAGGCTAGGCATCATTTCTGAGTTTGCCACTTTTCTTAGAAACACTGACCCTTAAAAGGCTCACTGTTTCGGGAGATGAGGGGATGCCAAAGGTCCCCTAAAATTGCTCTAAACACAAAAATCTCTGCCGCAAAGGACACATTCTGACAACAGGTCATGTGAAGTGCCTGCGGAGCTTCATGGACTTCCTTTGTTCACAGGGACGCGATCTACTTTAATACCAACACTGCAGTTCAGAGCCCTCGGGGAAGTCAAGGTGCACACGGGGCATTTCTAGGCTCAAAGACGCTTCTGGAGACCCAGGGAAGCCCCCACGCCATCTCTGTGGGATAAGATCACAAAGCGAATGCTTCTTAGTTATCGTTTTGTGACCTCCATGGATTTGGGCAAATGTTTCCAGGCTCTAGACATTATTGTTCTGGCAGGGAATTTGGGCATGGAGCAACAGTAATTTAATACGATTAATGAAAATGAAGGCTAATTAGGAAAAAGACAACAAACATTTAAGCTCGGGCTGAGGTGAAAATGTGGAACACTCATGGATGAATTTTATTCACTCCGAAGGACAGATAACACTTGAGTTGCGGTAATCAGGCAAAGTACAGTCAAACACACGGGGCATTGCATCTTGTTGAACGTACCTGCAACCCTTCAATGGCCAGCTTAAGGATAGAAGGCGTCAATTTGGAGGCTTGTTTGAAGGAAAAATTACTCCAGTCTATAATTAAAATGAAACCGTTGATCTGAAGTTCAGGATCTTCAATAAGGACTTCCAAAGACAGCAGGATGGCGCGAAGGATATCTGTGAAGGAGTTCCTGTGACCAGAACAGAAAGAAGAGCGCGTGTGAGTCTAGAGAGTTGACAGATGACACATTGTGTCGTGACTCTGCTGTCCTTACCCCGCAGCCCCATGACCCCTGCATGCAGTGTCGCGTTGAGGTTCTAATACACAGAACGAATGAAAATAATTGCCTAAACATCCAGAAAGAACGCTTCAAGGTGGCGAGAATGGGTGCATCCCCTTGATTTGGTCACAATAGCATCTTAGACTTCATGAAACGTCCTTCTTCTGCATCCCACGGCTATCTGTGCTCTGCTTCCCCTGTGTCTTTGTCCACACCTTGCAGAAACACATCCCTGCCCCCCACACTCTGGTAACCATGGGCAGTGGCTGCGTTACAAGCCTGGCAGTATCTTCAGCACCTAGGCTCTCAATGGATCACTGATGAACAAAGGGAGAGAAACCTCAATCCCAGAGCTTATTCAAACTCAATATCTCCCATTTCTTTTTTTATGCTAGAACCCTGAAGAGAGCATACAAAGGGCCATGCTATTGTGGCTATGGTTTCAGTTTTGATTCACGGGTAGCAAAAAATAAAGCAGGAAGAACAACTTATTTTCATTTAAGGACTACAGGTTGTGATACAGAAGGGAAATCACTTTGAGTACATCGGTAGCTATGACAACAGGCAGACGAATCCAAACTAGGGTGATAGTTCTCCATGGCTGTGTATAAGCCTACATCACAGGTCCAAATCACTCCTGAGTTCCATTTACATAGGTTTCAGACATGATGAAATGATCATATAGGCACTTGCAAATGAGGTGACCTGAAAAAAACTACTTTTCTAATCGGTGTCTTTGATAAGCTAGAAGCCTGGATGTCAAGCATAATTCTATGACTTCCTTCAGGCCTTCATTAAAACCAGGAGCTTGGTCATGGGGAGTCACTGTCAAAGGTCGGATTCCTAAGATGATCAGTGTGGTTTGAACCCTAACCATAATGCCTACAGAATAGAGTCTGAGCACCTGTGTCTGATCAGTAGGCCAGTGACGTACTCCACCTGTTACAAGCTCAGAGCTCTCTTTCGTGCTTGAAGTTTTGCTAGTGAACTCTGTCTCTACTTCCAAAGATAATAGTTGGCGGAGCTGGAAATGAGCTGCAAGAATTGAGAGGGGTCGATACCACTTGATCGGTCTAGAAAGAGTGTATGAAGGGATGGCAGTTTGTGATAGACCTTACGTGAACAGGCTTTTGATAGGTAATTCTGATAATAAAAAATGAAATACGTCAGAACTGAAGAGAGATCTAAATAAAAATTAAAAAAATAAGTAGCCCACTCCATTTCTGCTCTTCATGAAAGTTCTTTTCTCTCTAATACCAAACTACAATATCCCTTCAATCTACCCACTTAGATTAGACCTGGCATATGGGGTCGGGTAAGCGCCCAGAGCTCCCCACATCATCACTTTCAACTGTGCAAACCTCATGCTCATGGACCTGTGTGCCCTCTAGGAGGAAATGGTAGCTCTTGTGCTCTTAGCGTTATTGTTTTCTTTTTATAAGCAACCTATTTTAGAGATACTGTAGTCTTAGAAACCTAGGTAAGTTTAAATGAAGTTTATTTTGCATGTGGCTTAGATTTCAGATACATAGTCACCAGATAAGTTACTTAAGTCAGATATATACCTTATGAAGAAATATTGATTTAAGGAGAACGTGGAACAAAAACTATGTGTTTAGGTGATTTCAAATGCTAGTATAAACGTATCGAGCGGCAGGCTAGAAATGGTCACAGGAGACCAGTGAATCTGAACTCAGATAAGCTTTCTTAACAAGAGAAAAGCAAGAAATACAACTACGGCTGAAAATCTGAGTCCTACAGAAACTCTATATACAACACAAAAGGTGGAAGGTGGAGGATTAAAGAAACGACGAAAGGTGGAAAGATTAAGACAGGGTGGCTTAATAAAAAGAAGAAAAGGGTCACATGAAGGAAAATCTGTATTTCTGTGTCACTGACCCCAAATTCTCATGGCCTATCTACTCCCTGAGGCCATAGTTCCTTATCTATGTGATTTGCCTTGAATAATGACATGTAGACAGACAAGAAAAAAATTGCCAGTTCTTAGCCTTGTTCTTCAAGGACCTGACATGCCATTTTGTTCTCTTTCCCTTTTACAAATGCACCAGTCAAACTGTACATACTACAGCTAGAATGATGGATTGAGGATCAGACCCTGCAGGACCCTGAAACTGTGCTGCCTGTCAGGTCTCAACCTGCTTAGATAAACTCCCCACGGATAGAGGAACAGGAATAAAAAATTGTTTCTAAACTACTGGGGTGTTGGCATAGTTTGCTATGCATCAATAACTGTCCAAGGCAAGAGGGTGGTTTTGAAAGCCAGGACAACAACAAGGTTAAGGAGAACAGGGAAGGAAAGGGACCAACATGTTCCCAGTAGGTCTTCTTGTTGTTTAGTTGTGGGCTTGGTTGATTTCATGAGACTGACTTCTGCTATAAATCCCAGAATAGCCTCAGATTCCCAACCTGACTCTGGTCTCGAAAGGGTTGGGAGGATGGGTGTGAACCACCATTCCAGCCAGAGTACATTCTCAGGGAGCCTTGAGAGAGCACTTTAGTCGATGGTTGAAGATAGGAACTGGTAATTATGGAGCTATTTAATAAATTAACTCTTCTCTACCTGACTCTACTTCTTAAGTAAGATCTCTATCTCCTTCGTGGTCTATTCACTCGTGTCCATTTGTAGCAAAGACCGGAATTTAAAGCAGGCACCAGCAGGAAGAACGATGCTACACATGTGAGAGGACCCCAGGAGTAAAGGGAAAGGATTGTGGACTGGGTTTCGCTTCCAAATGTTTACGTGCTTAACTTTTATAGATGACGTGGTGGGCAGGGACATACAGATGAGCGGGTGTTAGGAGGCTTCACTGGAACTGGGGAGTGGCCTTGCAGCTGCTTCTCTTAGCTGGAACTATTCCCTGAATTCTTGGCTTCCTCCTAAAAATTTTCCTTTCCTCATTCCTTTTTGTAATACACTTTACTTGTGGAAGACTCTTAGCTGTTTGGAATTTTAAAAAGCCACCAAACTAAATAATTTATGTAGATAATGTACCCTGAAGGATTTGGAGCATAACCGTCCTCTCCATAAATACTGGCCAAGCGTGCAGACCCCTTTCTAAAGAGCAGAGTAAGGAGAAGAGTCCCCGCACAGCGGAGAACTCTAGGGCCACAGCTTGAGCTGGGAGACCAAGGTCGGTATCACCAGAGAGAAATCACAGAGGGTTTTGCTCTTGCTATGATGACAAAAATACTGCTTTATTTCTAGAACTGTCCTCCCCCACATCATACTGCCAGACCAGTAACGAGGAGAGCACCAAACACATTTCACCTGAAGGACAGTCAGTGAAACAGACCACCACTCTTTCTCGCGACTGTGAAGTATGTCAAAACCCAAGGTTATTCTGAGCAACTGTCACAGTCAAAAGGATGCTGACATAACGTGACTGCTAAATGTAGCCTGGCTCTTGAGTTAGATCCTGAGACAGAGAGATATTGGTCAGCACTGAAGCCATCTGAATGACGTGAGGAACAGCGAATACCTGTGGCTTAATCTGGCTTCTTACTTGGGACACTACTGCAGACTAAGGCGTTAATCCCGACAAGCCAGTTGCACACAGCACACAGAGCAACTGTCTGTGGTTCCCTCAACATAATTTCTAAATCTAAAATTGTTACCAAAACAATGATCTTTAATTAAACAAGCTTTCTGGTGCTTGGCGCCCGTCACCACGAGCCTTCCCGCTCTAACAAGGTTTCTAGACAAACCAAAATGGCCATTAGCAATTCAATTTAAGGCAAATGGTGCTGGTAAGAACAAGTCCATTTTCAGACTGTCTTTGCCAGATGAACTGGTGTAGGCATGGGTTGTTTAACTCTAATAACCCAGATGAAAGAGATTATCTCTCACCTGCAATCACAATTAGATCAGACTATTCTGGTATGTGTTTCGGAATGAAATAACAGATGAAAATTGGTACTTACATGTCATCTATCCTTTTCATAATTTGCACAGCTTTTGTGTCGTCAGGATTCAGTGTGACATTTTTAACCTCACACGAAAGCACTATGTGAGCTGGAAATTGCCATTGAAATGTAAGGAATTATCCTAAAAAGGGAACGCTTTGAAATTTCCCCATAGGATTTTAATTAACTAGGCCTTAGCAGCAGGTTTTTAATGGTCCTTCATCATCGTACTGAGACAGCCTAGAGACTATGAATACAGCTCTTCTTAAGGTTCTCGTGTTGTGTTTATAGTTTTATTGTTGCTTCACGCCGCCACTTTAGGTTTACAATCACTACAAGTGAGAAACAAAACGGTGTAAAATAGCGGTTACCAATTAGAAGAGGTCTAGCTTTCAATAACAGCTCATTTGTCTTGACTTTGGATGAGAGATTCTAAGACTTCAGTCCATGTCCTGATCCCTATAAGAAAAGGAGGTCATGTGTAAGCAGATGACCGTGCAGAGGCATGGTGGGATTGCAAATAACCCTTGTTCTCAGGAAAAATGGGAGAGAACTTCTCAGTCAGTTCCACAACCACAGTGTATATCCCTGCAGTAATTTTTCTGTTGCAGCAAGAAGCCATTAATATATTAATATTTGGAATTAAAGCTCTCATATAAATTCTTATAATTACTAAACAATGTGACTTTATGTGTGTATATATATGTGTATATACATATATTTATGGAGGTTTTCCTTAAGAATTTTCAAGGTCACAATAAACCATGTCAGGCATGGTTCTCATCCAGGTACCTATGTCTTAGTCACAGATCGAGAAACATTTATGTATGCGCTCTTCTGTATTTCACCATTCCATTTAAGACTGCCTTCAACCTAACCACTATCTTAACTGACAGTGAGGCCTCGGACAACCAGGGGAAGGCATACTTAGCGGAGCCCTTCTCGTTTGGCCCCCCAGGCAAACAAGAGCCCTATTTGAGATGATG